TAATGCATTTCGTATGGTTTCACCGGGGAAACTTGAGTTTCTAATCAACTGCGGCTTGTAAACGCAGCAGTACGTAGAGGATAAAAGTATACTGCTATCCAGAAATGGAAAATTTACCATCGGGAAAGTGGTGTAAAGCTGTCTCAGCCGTTTTCGTTGTGGGATACGCGAAAGTGGACGGCTTGAAATGAGTCTGTCGAGTCGAATACCTCAAAGTTACTCGACATGGTTTCATAGTGTATTCCAAATCGTATTTCACATCAGTCGACTAATATCGTTTTCAGGCATAGCCCTGCATGGTTACACATACTGATCAATTTTAATTCTATCATCATATATATCATTCCATGTTGTATAACAACACTACGACACCTCAGTTTATGATCCGGTAGCCAACCATAGCAAGATCACGCACCCATTTAGATATCAATAATTCACACGCTGTCTTAAAAATAATAACGCTGATATTTTACTATAATCGACCACAAGCTAGGACGTACCCCAGGTTAGTGGTGCATGGTTTATCTTCACACCGTGTCAAGGAAATGTAGATTCGAATCCAGGCCATGTTTCGTTCATACGAATTGTGGCACGGTTCAAGATATATACATGTACTTTTCAAAACAGCAAAGACTGGAAATTTTGTATTGATCATTATTTTTTCTTTTAACTTCGAGAGATGTAGGTTGATGAGGACTACAGGTAAACAGCCTATATTACCATGTATTATTTCACTTATATCCACTTGTTTCACTTAGGGTCAGCAGTTTTACTTATATCCGCTTGTTTTACTTATGGTCAATTGTTTAACTTATGTTCGCTTATTTCAGTAAGGGTCAATTGGATGTTTTTTATATCCGCTTATCTTACACATGGTCAATTGTTTAACTAATATCCGCTTATTTTAATCCGAGTCAATTGTTTTACTTATGTCCGCTTATTTTATTTGCATTCAGGTTCAAATGTAGTAGTTTTTATAGGAACTAAATTTAATTATGTTTAAAATGATAGCATGTGACCTCGGCTTGTATAATCGAATAAAAAATGTGTGAAAACCTTGTTGATTCATATTTCACGTGTTCGTACATTTCTATTAACCTGTGGATTGAATTTTCTCTCTGTTGTTTTTGTGCATATGTGTAACGAAGTACAGTCAAGGGAGGTAACTGATATGGAAGTTTACATACATTTGTGTGTTTCTACCAGTTATCTCCCTTATAACGTCATTTCCCATTATTTCTCGGATGGTGATTTGTTCAAAATCAGAGTGAAAGAATCGGTGTGGTGAACATCTTTTTTTCAGTGAATACTATATAAATGCCTTCATTCTTCATAGATAAGGTTTTCTGTGTCTATACTTGTATATTAACTGAACTAGTCGATATTCTAATCTAAACATTTAAGGAAATATTTTTGATAATTTTATAATTTTGCATCTAATTTAGCGTAATATTTCGATATTCCTGTCTGAATCGTGTGGAAAGACCTATAAATGTATGTGTCTACAGATATTCTTTATGTAGTATCATAAGTATTTCATTTTGACATATTCCTTAGTATACCTGTACGTTGTTTTGTTGTTTACCGTGTTTTCGGGACGTGACATTACTTATTTGGATTAAGCCTTATTTTATTTTAGTTTTACAAAATTTTAGTTTGGATTAGGAATCTGTCGACATCAACATTCGAGGGGTGCCTACAGTTATCAAATATTTCAATATTTCATCTTCTACGTTGATCCGATTTTTTATTTTATACAATATTTCAATATTTCGAGTCTATGTTCGGTAGAGATTTATATTCGAGGAGTGTACATAATTATCAAATATTTCAATATTTCATCTTCTGAAATTATCAAAGCGTCTAAATCGAACATTTTTCACATTCCAGGAAATTCTTCAATTTCCAAATATTTTTTTAAAAGATTTCTTGTCTACATTCAGCCAATTTCTTCCTTCAAACTCCTGCCTATGAGTTTAAATAATATGTCAGTGTATACATTAACCATGGACTTGAATATTTCAGTTCATTTACATGACAGGTATGTTATTGTGCCTGCAGATAAGGCGTCCAACAATTTAATCCGTGCCTGCAAACATTATTACATTTCCTGTGTACAAAAACAACTGGGCTTGCTTGATAACGAAGGAAACCCCACCTATACATTATGAAATCTTTCAAAAAACGAAATTCTAGTTAATCATGCTCCGGTATTAAAATCATTTAGATTGCCTATTAATGACAACGATACGGACGTCCCCCGTTTATATTGGATCCCTAAATTTCACAAAAATCCATATAAACAACGTTTCATAACTGACTCGTCTCACTGTTCAACCAAGCCTTTGTCTAAATTACTAACTTCTATCCTAAATATAATAAAATCTGGATTACAGTCTTATTGTGATGCTATTTTCTCAAGAACTGGAATTAATAATATGTGGATTTTGAAGAACTCCAAAATGTTTTTGACCAATCTTTACCATTCTCTTCTGAAAAACATTTCTTCTATAAGAACACTTAATTTTTTTCAAATCTGCACACCACCATATCCCATTCTAAACTGAAGGATCGTTTTCTTGTTACAAGAGATTTCTTCTCCAAGAAAGGTGAACGGCGGTATAAATATATGGTTGTGAACTATAATGAAGCATAATTCGTAAGATACAAGTCCAAATCAAAGAAGAAAGATACGGAGGACGATCTCATAAAAATGATAGTGTTTCTGGTTTCTTCATCGAGTTTGTTGGTGAGATCTTCGAACAGACTATTGGCAAACTATTGCACTTTTTGTTTACTTGTTTTTGTGTTCAAACGAGGCTGAATTTATTGAAGATCTTTTCAAAACTGGTCACGATTACCTTGTAAAGTCGATTAATCTCACCGTCAGGTATACTGATGGCGTCTTTAAATAACAAGACATTTATTGACGACGCCCATCGTGTTTATCCACCAGAACTGGAAATCAAAGATACGACAAATTCTTCTACATCAGCCGCTTATCTTGAACTTTTCCTGCCATGAAGCCAGCATGGAAAGCTTGCCATCAAGTTGTATGATAATCGTGCAGATTTCAGTTTCCATATTGTGAATGTTCCATTACTGGATAGAAATAACCCTGCATCTCCAACCTATGATATTTACATGTCACTGTTGATTCGATATTCAAGGTCCTGTTCCCATTATGACGATTTTCGTGCAAGAAGTCGACAACTCGCTGACAAACTCGTTACACAAAGGTTCAAACGATGCTGGTTGATAAAAATTATGGTGAATTTTAGGTTCGCCAAAGTGATCTCATTGAGAAATATTCTATTTCTTTGTGTGACACGAAGCTCGTTAGTTTCCTGTTGGTTCCGTTGTTTTATACCTTGTTCTTATTTGAGAACGTGACATTATTTACTTGGATTCACCCAGATTTATATGGCGGGTGTCGTCGATGAAGCAGAAGATGCTTACTCTCCCGGAGCACCTGGTCTTATTCTTCTTGTACTTTTTCAGGAGTCTCCGTGTAAATCTTTCTTTTGTTCTTATTTTGTCCTAGTTTTATGGAATTTGAGTTTGAAGTATGATTATGTTGTTAGTTATATTATGTTGTTGCAATCGTATAATTTTTTGCATGTTGTTCTTGTCGTAAATGTCTGTTGTGTCGGTTCCAGATCTTTCCTTCTTGACTATTCTTGAGAATGAAATAAAATCGCAACAAATTGACCTCTCGAAAAATAATACTGACAGAGAAATCATAGTCCTTGTCATGATGTTGATTATGTTCTTTGTATTTCACTTTGAGTGTCATCCCTGTGGTAGTGTCTTTTCCATCATCAATTGATTTTATAACAGCATTTTGGTCGTTATATATGAATTGTTATAAAAACTTAATATGTTTTAGTTTTATTAATATACAGGATATCTACATTAACACAAAAATAATCAACAAAATATATTTAGCACAGCCTTAATTAGAATAGATATGTAATACAACAAACAGGTACAGGCGGTAATAATCATTATACACTATGGGACGTCGTTATTCTCATTGGTAACATCAAATAAGGAATGTAACAAGATAGGAGATTCGGTCTAATACCACAGTTGTTCTGTTAGCTCATGAACATACAAACGCCTACTATTATAGAAAAAATTCGGTCTTACCAATACTAATTACTTAATTACGTATCAACAATGACTAGACCATTTGTTTATGTTTCTTCAGTAGCCTCTATTCTAGTGATTTTTCTAATAGGAGTCTATCAAGATATTTTTTTTTTAAATGTAATGTTAAATGTCATGGTTGTAATTAGCTTCAAAAATAAACATTTTGGTTAAATGAATGAACTTGGAAATCTAAGCCAAATTCATCGACATACGTAATAAAACCATTTCGGAAAAAAAATCTTCAATCAACATTACAATATATAAACCGTTGTTTTAAAGGAGAAGGTCATCATACACGTATTACATATATACCCGATTCTTTTTCTTGACAGATATTTTACGTGAGCGTTTATCACAGCCCAGAGTGTGAAGGGTAGGCATGTGTTCGCACATCACACCATGCTTAGACAGTGAAGTTACAAGATTACCTCCGAAAGAAAGGGGGACTTTCGTGCTATGGTAATTTCGTTCATATTGATTGAAGTGCGATAGTCAGTTATCATATCTATTGTAACAGATGTGATATATTATACAAATGATTGTTACTGACGGTATTGATGATCCCTCAAACAGATACTATCTCTGTTGTAGAACGAGTCTCTTCTTGTGTCATGTTCTAATAAGTTCTGCAAATGTAAACAAAGAAGAAAATTTTTGTACTAAAGACTTGTCCAAGAAGTTAGAACATTTGTTACTCTGGAAGTAGACCTCGTGTGGCTATACCGAAAATAATAAAGTTCAGAACGTTGAAGAATGACTAGCGTCGTTATCAAGCGTGTAGCTGATGCAGAACTGACACTGGAAGTAGTAATGTTGAAAACTCCGACGGATGATCAACGTTGTTGTCAAGCTTGTAACTGATGCAGGCTTGATCCCGAGACTGGAAGATGCGAATCCTGTACGCCCCACAGGTTCGGTAACATATTGTCTGAAAACAAAATTGATTGAAAGAATAAGATGAATTGTTTCTTAGATTAATTCATGGTTAACATCACTGTTTACCTTTGAAGATTGTTGTCCATACTTTTGTTATAATTCTGGAGTTATAAGCTTTACTATGGAAACACATTTTTATTCTTTAATTTGCAGAGTGATTGACAAATATTGACATATATCCATATTTTGATTTCGATGTTAAAGGGAAAACAATTTCTGATTTCTCTTCTTTATTTTGTACTTTCATTTCTGCTGGCATCAACTCACCGTGTTTAGACTTGGTATGTAGTTTGAGTTCGTATGGACTGCTAAATTCTAGACTACATAATTTGCACGAGTTTATTTTCTCTTTCACGTGCGTACGTCTCACGTGACTGTCGTGAGCTGCGTGTGATGCAAACGCCTTCCCGCAAAATTTACACTGAAATGATATTAGAAAGAGTTTTATAAAGAAACATTCAGCTGGGAATGGTGTCAAATCAAAAAAATTATACACAAAAACGTCTAATTACACAAATTACCAAATGCTGTAGCGTTTCCTTTGATGAGGCCTACCACAGGACCTTTACGGTATACTGTATGAATTAACAGTTGATTACGTTTGGTTTAAGTTTTTACACAACGAAAATAAAATCAGAATTACTTTGTTTTTATTTTAAATAACATATAACTATGCACAATAGAAGGATATCACTTTTGTTATTCGATAACAACAATAATATGTTGGCTATCTAGATCACTTTAACATGCATTCTTATCAATGATCTGTCTTGATGTCTGATATTCTAAAACAGTAATTCTACGAGTAGGAAAAAGGTAGATGCGGATATGACATCATAAAAAATTGGATATTGGTACCTTAGTGTTGCAAATGTAATATTAATATGTCAAAGTGGATATGATATTATGTAAATGAAGGTATAAATCCTGACCTTGAAGGGTCTTTCCCCCGAATGTTGTCGTATGTGTGTCCTCAGTATGCTGCTAGCTGTAAAGGACTTACTACAGTATACACATTTGTACGGACGCTCACCACTATGTACCTGTCAATAAAAGATATTAAATCGGGGATTACTATGCGAATGAAGTAGAGATGTTGGATGTCATCAGGATACCAAAAAATTATTCCATATTATAATTCTGACTTTAATGACGACCTTTGAAGTTGAATAGTATTTATCTTGTACAAAAAATAAATCTTACAAAATATGACATGATAACTTCAGCGATTTAAACTACTCAAAATTGATTGACTGTAAAATGTACGATATCAACAATACATATTAAGATTATGGTATACATAGTAAATACTATAAACAGTAAATAATATATTGTGTATGTTTAACATGTTTATGTTAGGCAGCTATGTATCTCAACCTACCCTCATGTGTTTGTTTAAGCTGGAACTCTGACTGAAACTTTTTCCACAAACACTACATTTGTGAGGACGATGCTTCTCATGAACATGCAGAATGTGGATCCGTAAACGATCTCTCTTCTCAAATGACCTACATGAAAAAAAAAAACAATGATTTATACGATACAAAGGCGTGTATGATGAATGTTTATTAAATAACCATAATGTTTATCAAATAAATATAATATTGACTTTATAAAAATATTGGTCGACACCAGCTTTGTGTCCTCTGGTCCTTATCATAACATATTTATGTTTCACACTGATTACCAACATATTTCAGTCATACTTTATACATAGATAACGAAAGTAAATATGGTGACATTCCTTGTACACAGTTAACAATGGTACATCTGGTTACTTACCATGTACACAGTTAACAGTACATCTGGTTACCTACCTTGTACACAGTTAACAGTACATCTGGTTACTTACCTTGTACACAGTTAACAGTACATCGGGTTACTTACCTTGTACACAGTTAACAGTACATCTGGTTACCTACCTTGTACACAGTTAACAGTACATCGGGTTACTTACCTTGTACACAGTTAACAGTACATCGGGTTACTTACCTTGTACATAGGTGACATGGGTACATCTGGTTACTTACCTTGTCACAGTTAACAGTACACCTGGTTATCTACCTTGTACACAGTTAACAGTACACCTGGTTACTTACCTTGTACACAGTTAACAGTACATCGGGTTACTTACCTTGTACACAGTTAACAAGGGTATATCTGGTTACCTACCTTGTACACAGTTAACAGTACACCTGGTTACTTACCTTGTACACAGTTAACAGTACATCTGGTTACCTACCTTGTACACAGTTAACAGTACATCTGGTTACTTACCTTGTACACAGTTAACAAGGGTATATCTGGTTACTTACCTTGTACACAGTTAACAGTACATCTGGTTACTTACCTTGTACACAATTAACAAGGGTACATCTGGTTACCTACCTTGTACACAGTTAACAGTACACCTGGTTACCTACCTTGTACACAGTTAACAGTACATCTGGTTACCTACCTTGTACACAGTTAACAGTACATCTGGTTACTAACCTTGTACACAGTTAACAAGGTTACATCTGGTTACTTACCTTGTAAACAGTTAACAAGTGTACATCTGGTTACTTACCTTGTACATAGGTGACATGGGTACATCTGGTTACTTACCTTGTACACAGTTAACAGTACATCTGGTTACTTACCTTGTACACAGTTAACAAGGGTATATCTGGTTACTTACCTTGTACACAGTTAACAGTACATCTGGTTACTTACCTTGTACACAATTAACAAGGGTACATCTGGTTACCTACCTTGTACACAGTTAACAGTACACCTGGTTACTTACCTTGTACACAGTTAACAGTACATCTGGTTACCTACCTTGTACACAGTTAACAAGGGGACATCTGGTTACTTACCTTGTACACAGTTAACAGTACACCTGGTTACCTACCTTGTACACAGTTAACAGTACATCTGGTTACCTACCTTGTACACAGTTAACAGTACATCTGGTTACTAACCTTGTACACAGTTAACAAGGTTACATCTGGTTACTTACCTTGTAAACAGTTAACAAGTGTACATCTGGTTACTTACCTTGTACATAGGTGACATGGGTACATCTGGTTACTTACCTTGTACACAGTTAACAGTACATCTGGTTACTTACCTTGTACACAGTTAACAAGGGTATATCTGGTTACTTACCTTGTACACAGTTAACAGTACATCTGGTTACTTACCTTGTACACAATTAACAAGGGTACATCTGGTTACCTACCTTGTACACAGTTAACAGTACACCTGGTTACTTACCTTGTACACAGTTAACAGTACATCTGGTTACTTACCTTGTACACAATTAACAAGGGGACATCTGGTTACTTACCTTGTACACAGTTAACAGTACACCTGGTTACCTACCTTGTACACAGTTAACAGTACATCTGGTTACTTACCTTGTACACAGTTAACAGTACACCTGGTTACTTACCTTGTACACAGTTAACCGTACACCTGGTTATCTACCTTGTACACAGTTAACAGTACATCTGCTTACTTACCTTGTACACAGTTAACAGTACATCTGGTTACCTACCTTGTACACAGTTAACAGTACATCTGGTTACTTACCTTGTACACAGTTAACAGTACATCTGGTTACTTACCTTGTACACAGTTAACAGTACATCTGGTTACTTACCTTGTACACAGTTAACAGTACATCTGGTTACTTACCGTGTACACAGTTAACAGTACATCTGGTTACTTACCTTGTACACAGTTAACAGTACATCTGGTTACTTACCTTGTACACAGTTAACAGTACATCTGTTTACTTACCTTGTACACAGTTAACAGTACATCTGGTTACCTACCTTGTACACAGTTAACAAGGGGACATCTGGTTACTTACCTTGTACACAGTTAACAGTACACCTGGTTATCTACCTTGTACACAGTTAACAAGGGGACATCTGGTTACTTACCTTGTACACAGTTAACAGTACATCTGGTTACTTACCGTGTACACAGTTAACAGTACATCTGGTTACTTACCTTGTACACAGTTAACAGTACATCTGCTTACTTACCTTGTACACAGTTAACAGTACATCTGGTTACCTACCTTGTACACAGTTAACAGTACATCGGGTTACTTACCTTGTACACAGTTAACAGTACATCTGGTTACCTACCTTGTACACAGTTAACAAGGGGACATCTGGTTACTTACCTTGTACACAGTTAACAGTACACCTGGTTACTTACCTTGTAAACAGTTAACAAGTGTACATCTGGTTACTTACCTTGTACACAGTTAACAAGGGGACATCTGGTTACTTACCTTGTACACAGTTAACAGTACATCTGGTTACTTACCTTGTACACAGTTAACAGTACATCTGTTTACTTACCTTGTACACAGTTAACAGTACATCTGGTTACCTACCTTGTACACAGTTAACAGTACATCTGGTTACTTACCTTGTACACAGTTAACAGTACATCTGGTTACTTACCGTGTACACAGTTAACAGTACATCTGGTTACCTACCTTGTACACAGTTAACAGTACACCTGGTTACTTACCTTGTACACAGTTAACAGTACATCTGGTTACTTACCGTGTACACAGTTAACAGTACATCTGGTTACTTACCTTGTACACAGTTAACAGTACATACACAGTTAACAGCTGGTTACTTACCTTGTACACAGTTAACAGTACATCTGGTTACTTACCTTGTACACAGTTAACAGTACATCTGGTTACTTACCTTGTACACAGTTAACAGTACATCTGTTTACTTACCTTGTACACAGTTAACAGTACATCTGGTTACTTACCTTGTACACAGTTAACAGTACATCTGGTTACCTACCTTGTACACAGTTAACAGTACATCTGGTTACTTACCTTGTACACAGTTAACAGTACATCTGGTTACCTACCTTGTACACAGTTAACAGTACATCTGGTTACTTACCTTGTACACAGTTAACAGTACACCTGGTTACTTACCGTGTACACAGTTAACAGTACATCTGGTTACTTACCTTGTAAACAGTTAACAGTACATCTGGTTACTTACCTTGTACACAGTTAACAGTACATCTGGTTACTTACCTTGTACACAGTTAACAGTACATCTGGTTACTTACCTTGTACACAGTTAACAGTACATCTGGTTACTTACCTTGTAAACAGTTAACAAGTGTACATCTGGTTACTTACCTTGTACATAGGTGACATGGGTACATCTGGTTACTTACCTTGTACACAGTTAACAGTACATCTGGTTACTTACCTTGTACACAGTTAACAGTACATCTGGTTACTTACCTTGTACACAGTTAACAGTACACCTGGTTATCTACCTTGTACACAGTTAACAGTACATCTGGTTACTTACCTTGTACACAGTTAACAGTACATCTGGTTACTTACCTTGTACACAATTAACAAGGGTACATCTGGTTACCTACCTTGTACACAGTTAACAGTACACCTGGTTACTTACCTTGTACACAGTTAACAGTACATCTGGTTACTTACCTTGTACACAATTAACAAGGGGACATCTGGTTACTTACCTTGTACACAGTTAACAGTACATCTGGTTACTTACCTTGTACACAGTTAACAAGGGTACATCTGGTTACTTACCTTGTACACAGTTAACAGTACACCTGGTTTCCTACCTTGTACACAGTTAACAGTACACCTGGTTACCTACCTTGTACACAGTTAACAGTACATCTGGTTACCTACCTTGAACACAGTTAACAGTACATCTGTTTACTTACCTTGTACACAGTTAACAGTACATCTGGTTACTTACCTTGTACACAGTTAACAGTACATCTGGTTACCTACCTTGTACACAGTTAACAGTACACCTGGTTACTTACCTTGTACACAGTTAACAGTACATCTGGTTACTTACCGTGTACACAGTTAACAGTACACCTGGTTACTTACCTTGTACACAGTTAACAGTACATCTGGTTACCTACCTTGTACACAGTTAACAGTACATCGGGTTACTTACCTTGTACACAGTTAACAGTACATCTGGTTACTTACCTTGTACACAGTTAACAGTACATCTGTTTACTTACCTTGTACACAGTTAACAGTACATCTGGTTACTTACCTTGTACACAGTTAACAGTACATCTGGTTACTTACCTTGTACACAGTTAACAGTACATCTGGTTACTTACCTTGTAAACAGTTAACAAGTGTACATCTGGTTACTTACCTTGTACATAGGTGACATGGGTACATCTGGTTACTTACCTTGTACACAGTTAACAGTACATCTGGTTATCTACCTTGTACACAGTTAACAGTACATCTGGTTACTTACCTTGTACACAGTTAACAGTACATCTGGTTACTTACCTTGTACACAATTAACAAGGGTACATCTGGTTACCTACCTTGTACACAGTTAACAGTACACCTGGTTACTTACCTTGTACACAGTTAACAGTACATCTGGTTACTTACCTTGTACACAATTAACAAGGGGACATCTGGTTACTTACCTTGTACACAGTTAACAGTACATCTGGTTACTTACCTTGTACACAGTTAACAAGGGTACATCTGGTTACTTACCTTGTACACAGTTAACAGTACACCTGGTTACCTACCTTGTACACAGTTAACAGTACACCTGGTTACCTACCTTGTACACAGTTAACAGTACACCTGGTTACCTACCTTGTACACAGTTAACAGTACACCTGGTTATCTACCTTGTACACAGTTAACAGTACATCTGGTTACTTACCTTGTACACAGTTAACAGTACATCTGGTTACTTACCTTGTACACAATTAACAAGGGGACATCTGGTTACCTACCTTGTACACAGTTAACAGTACACCTGGTTACCTACCTTGTACACAGTTAACAGTACATCGGGTTACTTACCTTGTACACAGTTAACAGTACATCGGGTTACTTACCTTGTACACAGATGACATGGATATTTACGATTTCCCTGATCGACGCATTTCGTGTATTTCAAATGTTTGTCTCTGTAGTATTTATATGCAAATACTTTCCCACATCGTTCACATTGATATCCCTCCGCGGCTAAAACAAGAAACATAAAATACACTGAGCTGATAAGATTATCCAACACAACACAATAGATGGGATAAAAGATATGTTATCAATATCAAACTTAATACAAATGAAATTTTATTCGTATAACCAATACTTATGGGTTGTATAATTTACTTCATAATGTGAAACATCTGAGGGAAACGCCTTCCTGTCGAAATCCCCGACAGTAGACAAACCAGGGTCTCCGACCGATATTCTATGTCTCTATCACAAGTCAAAGGGGCATGGTCCGTCAGCTGAGAGACGTTTTCGACGTGCCAGCCAGCTGACAGTAACATGGGCATATCGAATGAAAACGTCTCTGTTATAAGCATTTTAAGATCTGGCGATAATGCAAGTGTAATGCTGACGAAACGACTTCTCGTGATATATTTACAATCTGAATAATTACACAATTAAATGAACAACAAGCAAATCCGGGTCTTTTTGTCATAAATGAGAAACCTATCACAGGAAATACATTTGAGAACATTCAACTTTAAATGTTTCAGTGCCTGGCATCCTCCATTTTGAGTAGGAGAAGTCATTCACTGCAATTATTTCTCCTCTGTTCATAGAATGAGAGGTGGGCGAAACGTTTAAGCAAACATGACAATTCTACATAAAGAGAATATATGACTGTTGTTGTCAAAGGCGGCAGCGTTTTATTACCCTATTCTTTAATGGATCCCGCGTCTTGACAAAGCTAGATTCGACTAGGACAAGACCATACCGGAGACTTCTTACTGGAGATAAAAACTGTCTGTTCCTAGGGGAATTCGGTGTTGTAGTTAGTTTTAAGGCCCGGCTATAATAGAGGGAGTTAAATCTGATTTTTTCTTGTTTTATCACCAAAGTGTATTCTTTTCCTTCAAGCGTCACGGAAACGCGGACTGTAATTCCGGTTTATGCTGAGATAAGCCCTTGCTAAGTACGCTTACGTTCTTCATCATAAATGCGACCAGCAAACAAATCTATTCATTAAGCATCTCTCCACGTCTCTAATTGGAAGGAGATTGAGTGTTGGGGGCACTAAATCAGGAAAGGGGTTTATGGAACCGCGGATGATCGTAAAACAAATACTATCGTAAGACGACTGTGATCTGGACCTCCCCTGCTGTAGGAATGGGCGCGTAATGGGTGCGGTAAATGGAGGATTACCGGCGTGATATTAAGATGGCAGCGTGCAGTAGGACATGGTGATGTGGAGTAATTGCTTTAACAATCAGGCAACAGGAGCTTGATTTACAACACCTTGCACATAATACAGCTCAAAGTCAGTATTAACCTTCTTCAAACACGTGACATGCCCCTAACGCGAAGACTAAGCTACTAAATGTCGCCATCCTTGTTGCTATACGCCATTTCAATGCCTATAAAATGTAAATTTAGTACCATCTGCTTGTCAAAATAGCTATAAACTTTCCTTAAAACTAACGCATTTCGGCTCAAAAACTTTAAAATAGCAGGGCTAAAAGTTTTTTTCGTGAAATCTCCACGTGATGCATAAAGCCTGGTTGCATGTCTCCACAGACCCAAGTTTCCACACTAACCCTGACAAATTGACGCCGGTGCGTCGATATCCGTATTACAAACATGACAGCGTGCCTAGAACCGTTAACATGAGGCATTTCAATTTGTTTTATACCCGCGAACGTACATGTATACATACTAAAAAACCTGAGTGAGCTGCCATGTTTCGGAGTGCTAGAGTAGGGATTATTGGCAAACCGTACGTAAATCTTGGGTAGTGTTTTTTTTATCCTAAACTGATATTGTTTTCTATGTGGTGTTAAATATAATGAAAGCATTGAAACCGTGAAATACGTACCAATGGGATACGGAGAATATCAAGGAGTAAAAAAAAACCCTCGAAATTCAGACCCACACGTGACGGGGGTAAACTTAGAAACTTACACGGGCTGATTACTAAGATTTTTTTTAATTAATGCATCATAAGCGTAAAAAAAATCATCCATTCGAAATTACAGTCCTTCTGACAAAGATATCGTAGAGATTTCTAACGCCAAGGCCAGGCAATATAAACAGGAAAAGATGCACAAAGTTTGCGGTGTTAGATCTAGTGACTCGAATAGCTGAATCGGGTAGGTTGTATCAAAAGTTTCATATCGAGCGGGACAGTAAAAAGTTTTTAAAAATTATCAAAAGGAAAACCACAAGTCAGAAATGAGAAAAATGTATAAAGCCATGTCAGTATTGAGGTCAAGGTGACCAGACAAAAGACAGTAACGAGAGAAGGTAATGCAATTAAACAATTCAAAGGGCTTAGTAACACGAGAAAATGTTTCTGTACTGAGGTCACGTGGACCCAACCAATAAGAGTAGATAATTCAACAACAGGAATGAGAACAGGAAGGAAACACCATAAAAGTATTAGTACTGATGTCACGGTGACCCATAAACAAAAAAACATCCATGATAACAAAGTACAACAATAGGTAGCAACAGCTTTAAGGGAAACAGTACCTTAACCAGAAAGAGATTTCCTTGGGAAAATAAATGACGCCTACCCCAAACCCTTAAAAGAAATAATCGTTAAAACTGACAACAGGTATTTTCACCATTAAAATAAAATTAAAAAACAAAAACAAACAAACAAAAAAAACAAACAAACAAACAAAAAACAAAACAACAAAAAAACAACAACAACAAGATAATACCAACATGTCAACGACCATGATCCAAACTCAAATTTAATAAAATAAAGTCAAAATATGAACAAAAGAAAAAATTACGCGGAAACTCCCGAAGAAGTACAAGGGTACAAGAAGAAAAAGACCGGGTGTTCTGGGAGAAAAAGCGTCTACTGCTTCAACGACACCTGCCATGTAAATCTTGATCAATCCAAAAAAGTCATGTCAGTTGAGAACAAGGTATATATTAAATCGGAACAGACAGGCAAACTAATGAGCACCACATACATCCAGCTTCATACCACACAAAGAAAAAGACTATTTCTCAATGAGATCGCTATACAACCGTAAAACTTTCCTTTCATCAACCTGCATCTTTTGAACCCCTGTGTTATGAGTTTGTCAGTTGACGACATCTTGCACGAAAATCGTGATAATGGGAACAGGGCCTATTATATTGAATCAACTGCGACAAAAAGTAATGACAAGGGCGAGATAACATTATCAGTTAATTGATTGCCTTGAAATAGGTTTCTCATTTAAAAGGTTTTAAGATCGCTGAATCATTAAAAATTGTTTAATGTCTATCTGTACCGGACATCGGACACGAATATTTACCCACAGTTGTCAAATTTCTTTTATGATGAAAGTAAGAGAAACTTAACGCAGAGCAACAGAAGCACGATAAAACAGACTGAAAATAGCACCTATCAAAATTATATAATTTTAAATCTATTAAATTGATCACATGTCTAACTCTAATCCTAGATAAGTCAGTTAGACCTTAGTGAATGATCGTCATTTTTATTCATTCATTTATTTGAAAAAAAAAAACATGATTATCGGAAGCAAGCTGACATACATCAAGCCATGTATGAAGAGTTAACCTTAATCACCGGGTTTTCAAAGGTTGTACAAATGACACACAAGTGGATATCACCTTTGGATACATTAAGAAGACCTTTTAGGACTCGTCAGTGATACTACGGGCCAAAACTTTTAAACCCGTGGGGCTAAAAATAGATGATAGCTGGTATTAACTAATTAAAGTGTAAAGTAAAGGGCTCTCGAATATTTATGGGTTTTTTTTCAATGGTATGGCCTTTATAGAGGATACGTCATCACTTTCCAATAAAAAGATATAACATTAATACAAATGTGACTTATATATCAATCTAGAGGACAGGCAGGTAAATTACATTTCGAACAAATATGTAGTTATGTAACTACTGAACACCATTTCACAATTTATGGGTAAATTATGTATTGAACTAGTGAACAGTTATGTAAAGTATTGAACTAGTGAACAGTTATGTAAAGTATTGAACTAGTGAACAGTTATGTAAAGTACTGAACTAGTGAACAGTTATGTAAAGTATTGAATTAGTGAACAGTTATGTAAAGTACTGAAGTAGTGAACAGTTATGTAAACTATATATCAAACTAGTAAACAGTTAAAAAAATCTAATATCTGACTAGTAATCAGTTAAATAAATCATTTATCTAACTAGTAAATAGTTAAATAAATCATATATATAACTAAAAAAACAGTTAAATAAATCATATATTTAACTAGTAAACAGTTAAATAAATCATTTATCTAACTAGTAAATAGTTAAATAAATCATATATATAACTAAAAAAACAGTTAAATAAATCATATATTTAACTAGTCATATAAACAGTTAAATAAATAAATATATATCTAACTTGTAAACAGTTAAATAAATCATTTATCTAACTTGTAAACAGTTAAATAAATCATTTATCTAACTAATAAACAGTTAAATAAATCATTTATCTAACTTGTAAACAGTTAAATAAATCATATATCTGACTAGTAATCAGTTAAATAAACCATTTATCTAACCAGTAAATAGTTAAATAAATCATATATATAACTAGTAAACAGTTAAATAAATCATATATATATATATACTAGTAAACAGTTAAATAAATCATATATATCAGTTAAATAAATCATTTATCTAACTTGTAAACAGTTAACTAGTAAACAGTTAAATAAATCATTTATCTAACTTGTAAACAGTTAAATAAATCATTTATCTATAAACAGTAACTTGTAAACAGTTAAATAAATCATTTATCTAACTAGTAAACAGTTAAATAAATCTAATATCTAACTAGTAAACAGTTAAACAAATTATATATATAACTTATAAACAGTTTTAGGAATTATTTATTAGACTTATGAACAGTTATATAAATTGTACATCTAACTTATGTACAGCAGGACAGTTTCATATACCTGGTTAAATGATTCATACATCACTATACATAAACACTAATTAGTGGTAACGCACTCGCCTTTCACCTAGCCGACCGGGGTTCGATTCCCGGAACGGACGTGAAAAGGTAAGGGGTCACCTACCCGACCACGTGGGTTTTCCCCGGGTACTCCGGTTTCCTCCCACAATAAGACCCCTCGCGCGCTTACATCCGGGCCAACAAGAGTGATTAGTATAAGTTGACATAACTTGTTTCGCAATTGTTGTAAAATAAATAAAGTTTATATAAACACTAATTTAAACTTGGATATTGTCCATTCTTCGTTACATGGTAAGGGTTGTACAAAAACACAATAGCATTAAAAAGTATCTAGAACTCAACTGTGTTTCATCATTGACAGAGAAAAGTTAAAAAAAAAACCCAGTTAAAATGAAATATCGAAATCTGTTATGTTATCAACCAATGTAATTTTAAGGTCATGAGTGTTATACTGTAAGTGAATATTTCTTAATTGTTAGTTATTTATTGAGGGTTAAGATTAAGTTAATTAAGACTGATTAATATATAACATTTATACGTATATAGATTGACACATGCAGTAAGATAGTCATCTTTTGATATATTGAAAGTATATACTGAGTAAGTAACAGAGTTTGGTAGTAAGACGACAATCTGTTATAATGTATATACTATGTTATACAGAGCTTGGTAGTAAGACGACAATCTGTTATAATGTATATACTATGTTATACAGAGCTTGGTAGTAAGGCGACAATCTGTTATAATGTATATACTATGTTATACAGAGCTTGGTAGTAAGACGACAATCTGTTATAATGTATATACTATGTTATACAGAGCTTGGTAGTAAGACGACAATCTGTATATAATGTATATACTATGTTATACAGAGCTTGGTAGTAAGACGACAATCTGTTATAATGTATATACTATGTTATACAGAGCTTGGTAGTAAGACGACAATCTGTTATAATGTTTAATGTATATACTATGTTATACAGAGCTTGGTAGTAAGACGACAATCTGTTATAATGTATATACTATGTTATACAGAGCTTGGTAGTAAGACGACAATCTGTTATAATGTATATACTATGTTATACAGAGCTTGGTAGTAAGACGACAATCTGTTATAATGTATATACTATGTTATACAGAGCTTGGTAGTAAGACGACAATCTGTTATAATGTATATACTATGTTATACAGAGCTTGGTAGTAAGACGACAATCTGTTATAATGTATATACTATGTTATACAGAGCTTGGTAGTAAGACGACAATCTGTTATAATGTATATACTATGTTATACAGAGCTTGGTAGTAAGACGACAATCTGTTATAATGTATATACTATGTTATACAGAGCTTGGTAGTAAGACGACAATCTGTTATAATGTATATACTATGTTATACAGAGCTTGGTAGTAAGACGACAATCTGTTATAATGTATATACTATGTTATACAGAGCTTGGTAGTAAGACGACAATCTGTTATAATGTATATACTATGTTATACAGAGCTTGGTTATAATGTAAGACGACAATCTGTTATAATGTTTAATGTATATACTATGTTATACAGAGCTTGGTAGTAAGACGACAATCTGTTATAATGTATATACTATGTTATACAGAGCTTGGTAGTAAGACGACAATCTGTTATAATGTATATACTATGTTATACAGAGCTTGGTAGTAAGACGACAATCTGTTATAATGTATATACTATGTTATACAGAGCTTGGTAGTAAGACGACAATCTGTTATAATGTATATACTATGTTATACAGAGCTTGGTAGTAAGTCGACAATCTGTTATAATGTTTAATGTATATACTATGTTATACAGAGCTTGGTAGTAAGACGACTGTTATAATGTATATACTGTTATAATGTATATACTATGTTATACAGAGCTTGGTAGTAAGACGACAATCTGTTATAATGTATATACTATGTTATACAGAGCTTGGTAGTAAGACGACAATCTGTTATAATGTATATACTATGTTATACAGAGCTTGGTAGTAAGACGACAATCTGTTATAATGTATATACTATGTTATACAGAGCTTGGTAGTAAGACGACAATCTGTTATAATGTATATACTATGTTATACAGAGCTTGGTAGTAAGACGACAATCTGTTATAATGTATATACTATGTTATACAGAGCTTGGTAGTAAGACGACAATCTGTTATAATGTTTATTGTATATACTATGTTATACAGAGCTTGGTAGTAAGACGACAATCTGTTATAATGTATATACTATGTATATACAGATGTTATACAGAGCTTGGTAGTAAGACGACTTGGTAGTAAGACGACAAATCTGTTATAATGTATATAATACAGAGCTTGGTAGTAAGACGACAATCTGTTATAATGTATATACTATGTTATACAGAGCTTGGTAGTAAGACGACAATCTGTTATCCTGTATATACTATGTTATACAGAGCTTGGTAGTAAGACGACAATCTGTTATCCTGTATATACTATGTTATACAGAGCTTGGTAGTAAGACGACAATCTGTTATAATGTTTAATGTATATACTATGTTATACAGAGCTTGGTAGTAAGACGACAATCTGTTATAATGTATATACTATGTTATACAGAGCTTGGTAGTAAGACGACAATCTGTTATCCTGTATATACTATGTTATACAGAGCTTGGTAGTAAGACGACAATCTGATATAATGTATATACTATGTTATACAGAGCTTGGTAGTAAGTTATAATGTATATACGACAATCTGTTATAATGTATATACTATGTTATACAGAGCTTGGGTAAGACGACAATCTGTTATAATGTATATACTATGTTATACAGAGCTTGGTAGTAAGACGACAATCTGTTATAATGTATATACTATGTTATACAGAGTTTGGTAGTAAGACGACAATCTGTTATAATGTATATACTATGTTATACAGAGCTTGGTAGTAAGACGACAATCTGTTATAATGTATATACTATGTTATACAGAGCTTGGTAGTAAGACGACAATCTGTTATAATGTATATACTATGTTATACAGAGCTTGGTAGTAAGACGACAATCTGTTATAATGTATATACTATGTTATACATAGTTTGGTAGTAAGACGACAATCTGTAAAAAAGTATAAAAAATCTAAAATCAAATCCAGAGCTTGGTAGTAAGACGACAATCTGTTATAATGTATATACTATGTTATACAGAGCTTGGTAGTAAGACGACAATCTGTTATAATGTATATACTATGTTATACAGAGCTTGGTAGTAAGACGACAATCTGTTATAATGTTTAATGTATATACTATGTTATACAGAGCTTGGTAGTAAGACGACAATCTGTTATAATGTATATACTATGTTATACAGAGTTTGGTAGTAAGACGACAATCTGTTATAATGTATATACTATGTTATACAGAGCTTGTTTAGTAAGACGACAATATTTTATAATGTATATACTATGTTATACAGAGCTTGGTAGTAAGACGACAATCTGTTATAATGTATATACTATGTTATACAGAGCTTGGTAGTAAGACGACAATCTGTTATAATGTATATACTATGTTATACAGAGCTTGGTAGTAAGACGACAATCTGTTATAATGTATATACTATGTTATACAGAGCTTGGTAGTAAGGCGACAATCTGTTATAATGTATATACTATGTTATACAGAGCTTGGTAGTAAGACGACAATCTGTTATAATGTATATACTATGTTATACAGAGCTTGGTAGTAAGACGACAATCTGTTATAATGTATATACTATGTTATACAGAGCTTGGTAGTAAGACGACAATCTGTTATAATGTATATACTATGTTATACAGAGCTTGGTAGTAAGACGACAATCTGTTATAATGTATATACTATGTTATACAGAGCTTGGTAGTAAGACGACAATCTGTTATAATGTATATACTATGTTATACAGAGCTTGGTAGTAAGACGACAATCTGTTATAATGTATATACTATGTTATACAGAGTTTGGTAGTAAGACGACAATCTGTTATCCGTTTGTTATAGAACAGTAAATATTACTTGACCAATGAAATATGATTTAGCGATACTTACATTTTGACCTTGACTTTGAACTGTAGTGAAATGTTATAGAGATCGATAATAAAATATCGATTATTAGGTAAATATGTCCCTGCAAATAATTCTAGGTGGCATTTGGGAAGCAAATATTCACGTAACATTTATTGAGATCTGGATGTTTTAATGTTTCGCCGTAATACATTATGTACATGGAACATAAAATTAACGGCCCTGCCGTTATACCAGCAGTTTCCTCGAGGTCATAAACTCACCCTCCTTTTCTCCTTTAGTTGCATTCTGCACCTCTATGGATTCTTTCATTGTCACAGGTATCCCCATGAACTGAACGTACACGTCGCTGTACCATACCAGGAGTTCGGAACCCATCGGAATGTCTTTATACACTTCATAGTATATACAGTCATTCTCTTGAACCACTATCACGTTCTGTTCTGCCGTGTGCCGGGCACAGTTAACATAAGACATCCAGTTCCCCGTAGCTCCGCGACCGTCTATAAAATGGCTCAGCTTTCCTCCTTTGAAGATCTACGATTTTAAGTATAAATATGGAAACGTAAGTTTACTACTTTAAAGAATATACAAAATAAAGAGGAGAAAAATCGATTCTAAAAATATAAAAGCGTATAAAACAAAAACACAATCTGTATAAATTGGGTTTCACCATTACATACCTGCAAATGAGCACGACTGGTTTCGTTCATTTTTCCACGATATATTAAAATATATGACTTTTTGAACTACATTTCATAGTATTTAGGTGTGAACATCTTGCTTATAAATATGACTTATGAAATGAAATGAAGTGTTACATACCTCCCACATGTAGCTGTTATCATCGAAGGATTTTATTTCGCTGGTATTTACGACCTTGCCCTTGAAAGGTCCAAATCTCGTGCCCTTCGCGAGAATGTCACGACGAGAGAATACACCGTAATGTATGATACCAGCAAATGTTGTTGGACAAATGCACAACTCTGTAAAAAAACATTAAATGTTTATATATTTTTTTAAATATGGAGTTGAGATTTCCACTGCAAAATTATTTTAATTCTCGTCTGCCTTGTAAACTGTTTAGATTAAAGAAGTTGTGAATGACTAGCATGATTCCCGTTTGATAAATAATTAACTGTTTATTGTTGAGAATAACTATGCTATTCTTACCTTCAGGAAGATCGTGAGGTGGAGGGTCCGTTCGGGAAAGTTTCCAGGTACTGACCGGGAAAGGGGACGCCATGCCATTGTTTTGGGACAAGATCCTTTCAATGCCTAAAAAAGTATGGTGCACATTTATATATTGTGAAGGATGGATGATACAAAATATCGTAAAACATTAAATAATACAATATTTAAATGTTGAAAGTTTCATTTTCTTGATAAAATCACATCACGGTAATTTGTTTTACATCTTAAAAATGCACACTTGACCAACTTCAGATAGACAGGTGCTATTATATTATAATCATGTTACAGTATCTAACAAATTGGTGCCGGTGAGATACGGATTTGCTCATTTGCATATTTAAGTATTCACCGAGAAACGTGTGAGATAACAGCGGTTTAATCATCACATACACTCTAATTAACAGTCTCTCAGGATATAACTGGCGGACAAGTAAATGTTCATCTTTATTATTCATAAAAATAATCAGATTATGCTACACAGAATAACATTAAACAAAAGACCTATGAATGCCATACATTATGAATAAAATGTACTGTACAGCCTGGCTGAATCTGTCACTACCACCTCACAAATGCAGCGGCGGATAGTTTATATCCAGTGAATATGGCCTCGGGGCGTACTAGCCAAAAATTATCCGCCATATTAATTGTATTTTTGTTTGAGATTAGACGACACATGAATTATCCAGGAACAAGAAATAAGAAGTGTTTGATAAAGAAAAGTTGTCGTCTTGCTTACAGACGGTATAAATGAGAATGTTCTGTTGTTTTTATACAGCGTAAATTAACCATTAGGCCATATGTATACGTCCGTTAAACGGTGCGATTTCTTTAACACAGGTTTATTGAAGTTATTGATCAGAATAGATATCATTCTCGTTAAATAGTTGCATTTTTTGTGTTAATTCATAAGGGAAATTAAGAAAAATCAATCACTACACATTGTATTTAATATTTCATACTGATCCTCTGAAGTCTTATTATTTTTATGATATCACACTATTTGAAAATGTTTAAAACAAACTGCTATCTCTAAAATGCATTAAAAAATCAAGTGGTGTAACACAGTATAACAACGTATTACAATGTCCTTCGATAAATAATTCCTTTTAAATCTCTATTTCGATGCCTTTACAACCATTAACGATTAAGTCCCTAATTATCAGTTGGATCCGGCAGAGAGATTACTGCATTCAACGGCAAGTGATATCCAATTAGTTAAGGGCACTTGCAGTCAATTGTAAAAACGACAACAGTTTGGATCCTATGTAAATTGTTACATTAAACAATCTTAAGTCCCTGCTCGGTCATTTGTAACAAAACGATCTGTAAATTAAGAAACTTTTTTACCGAAATAGCAGTATCATACAGCACGATCATGGATAATGACTATTGCGGGCGTGAGTATCGCAAAAAATTGTTATTATGATCGGAAACTTACTCATCCAATTTATATGAAAATAACTTTGTAAATATAACAGCATGATACTCTCTGGTGTTTAAAGTAGTAAATCAGTACAGTGATCTCTGAATGGTTGATAACATCGCATGCTTAAATATATATACAACACACAACAGTGAAATAAATAAAAGAAGAATCATGACATTTTATTTTACTGATAGTCAATAGGATTATCAGTTTGTCGAGTTGTACAAAGCGCATTCTATATCTACTGGTAGAGGTGAGAGTTTCTCAGTCGTTTAGTTCTTCAGGACAAAGATTCAGCAACTGGAAGGCATTTCCGGTCATTTCATTTCTGCCGTAACTAATTTCCAAGTGTGGAAATGTAAAGAGGATTTTCTTTTCTTTTTTTTCTCCTGTAAAGTGTTTTCGGAATTTTGGTATTGTTCAGATTTAAAGAGAATTGTAAAAATGTAAAGAGAAATATTTTTCCATTGTAAAATAATTTCGGGAGTAGATATCAGAGTTACTTACCATGACTTATCTCTCCTACTTTCAGACCACTTAAAGCGTGCGCTGGAGTCCCGTTGCACGTGTTGACTGGGTAATAGCCAAACAGGACGAAATCTAAGTCCTCTTGTGTAAAATAGAAGGCAGGTGGACGTTGCTGGGACGAAGTGGAAGGGTAGATACGGTTAGATATGTCCGTCAGAGCTTTACAGTTCATTACGGGTGGACGAAACTGAGGCATACAATCCACGCCCATGTGTCCCATTGGGGCTTGGAAAAAGGCACTGAAAGGCAAAAATGTAAACCAATTTATCATAAATGTGTTGGAATATGTTTCTTTTTTAAAAACTTTTTCTATTAAGCATTCCTATCAACTTGAGTTTATTCTTCATTTATATAAATATATGGTAGGTAAGGGATCTTACTTTTGTCTCTTTCTATAATTAATATAAAATTCATATGCTCCAAAGGCATGATAAAATAATGAAAAAAGTAGTTTCATAGATATGAAAACTCACTTACTGATAACAGGGCAGATATGTTACGTGTATATTTCTTTAGAAGTATGACACATTACAGTATGGAGTAAAAACAACAACAAGACTTTGTATGACGAGGCATTGGGGTAATGGTGTAATGGCATTTTATGAAACAGGTATGCTGCTCTGATCAAGTCTCTATATAACACCTGCCTAGATGTACAACATAACACCTGCCTAGATGTACAACATAACACCTGACTAGATGTACAACATAAGACCCGTCTAAAGGTTCAACACAAGACCAGTCTAGAGGTACAACATAACACCTGCCTAGATGTACAACATAACACCTGCCTAGATGTACAACATAACACCTGACTAGATCTACAACACGAGACTAACACAGGTGTGGTAACGTAACACCTGACTAGATTTACAACACTAGAGACTAAAAAAGGTGAGATAGTGTAACACCAGACTAGATATACAACACTAGACTAACACAGGTGAGGTCACCTAACGCTTGACTAGATCTACAACACTAGACTAACACAGGTGTGGTAACGTAACACCTGACTGATTTACAACACTAGATTAACACAGGTGATGTAACATAACACATGACTATATTTACAACACTAGACTAACACAGGTGTGGTAACGTAACATCTGACTAGATATACAACACTAGACTAACACAGGTGATGTAACGTAATGCTTGACTAGATCTACAACACTAGACTAACACAGGTGTGGTAACGTAACACCTGACTGATTTACAACACTAGACTAACACAGGTGTGGTAACGTAACACCTGACTAGATCTACAACACTAGACTAACACAGGTGAGGTAACGTAACACCTGACTAGATCTACAACACTAGACTAACACAGGTGAGGTAACGTAACACCTGACTAGATCTACAACACTAGGTTAACACAGGTGTGGTAACGTAACACCAGACTAGATCTACAACACTAGACTAACACAGTTGTGGTAACGTAACACCTGACTAGATCTACATCACTAGACTAACACAGGTGAGACAACGTAACACATGACTAGATATACAACACTAGACTAACACAGGTGATGTAACATAACACATGACTATATTTACAACACTAGACTAACACAGGTGTGGCTACGTAACACCTGACTAAATCTACAACACCAGAGACTAAAAAAGGTGAGATAATGTAACACCAGACTAGATATACAACACTAGACTAACACAGGTGAGGTAACGTAACACCTGGCTAGATATGCAACACTAGACTAACACAGGTGAGACAACGTAACGCCTGACTAGATCTACAACACTAGACTAACACAAGTGAGGTAACGTAACACCAGACTAGATATACAACACTAGACTAACACAGGTGTGGTAACGTAACACCTGACTAGATCTACAACACTAGACTAAGACAGGTGAGATTGATGATCCTATGTTTAAATCATTCAGGTTTACCCGACATGCCTACAGGATAACATAATTGATTCTCACTTGTACTTCACATCTTTAAACAATAAAAATTGGATATTGATGAATAATTCATTTTAGAATTAGTACCTTACAGTCTGACTATCAATGCTGAATTAACCGTCGGCATTTCACCTGTAATGGGCTATATGGTCGTACTAGTCGGCTAATATCGTATTCAGGCATAACCTTGTAATTCCGATGGTTACACATACTGATCAATTTTATCATCACATTTATCAATCCATCTACTTAAAGAAAGAAACATGAAAGTTACGAGGCCTCGGTTTATGATTCTGTAAAGTCAACTTTAGCAAGATCACACACTCATCCAGATATCAATAATTCACACGCTGTCTTACAAGTAGTTACGCTGAAATTTTACTCTAATCGACCACTGGTTAAGAGTACTCCGAGTTAGTGGTGCTTGTTATACCTTCACACTGTGTCTGATGATATCAAGGAAAGATTTCAAGCCACGTCTCGCTTATTCGAATAGTTTCACGCTTCATAATATTCATGTGTTCTTTTGACGTTAGCCAGTATCATATCTTTTAATCATTTCTGGGCCTAGTGAAACACCCTCCACCCCCTCCAATAAGAATTTCGACGTTTATTTTCTACAAAATTGCATCCTCTTTCATTCGCCTCCCACCCATTAACTATTAATTTAGGCTTTTAACGTCCCCTACGAGTCACAAAAGGACGAAACAGATGTATGATGCAGTTTCGTTTATCATTTGACTCTGCTGAATATGATTTTTAATGTTGTTACAATCATTTAAAGAGAGTTGCTACTTGTTTGTGTGTCCTTTTTGCATTCCTCAAAATCCTGTTCCATTGTAATAAGGAACCGGAATAAAGTATTCGTTGAAACTATTCCATATTTCTAATAAAGTTATTTCATTGTTCTTTGGCTTTTACTTGCAATACACATACTCCCTCTTGTTTTAGTTAAAAAAATCCATTCAGTTGGGGGCTCGTTTTCTTAAAATCATTAATAGATTTGCCTCCCAATTTCAGGTAGTCCATTGTCAACATCCCTGTCCTTTGTTAGCACATTTTGTAAAGGAAGAGATTTATACGGAAAAAATGAAATAATTATATGGAAAATCAGGTATACTTGGACAATGTCATCGACGAAATCTGCTATAGGCATTCAAGAAAAACCAATATCTCAAAATTCAAGCACAAGTTTGTAGAATCCGTGCTGATATAAGCATTAAGAATGTAAATTGATAAAGGACCGTTGTCTTTGTTAAACATAATTGTTTATTGTTAACAATTGTTTTTGACCTGTGTGTCTTGCGTCCACATCTGATATCAGTAACACAATACGATTCAATTATTCAAAGTAGGTCACTTCCGAATCTTTACATCCTAGAAGAATTTAAAAGTAGATGGCGCCAGTCAACCTGTAGCTATATGATATCATAACCTATGTCATGGTCGTCCTGCTAAGTCATTGTGTCTTCAATATAATCAGTTCATGTCTACGTAATGAGCTCGTCATCCTATCTGTTATGTATCTATTGTGTATAATGCCACTTTTTGTATAAAGCAAAGTCAATCTAACCATCATACGTATATTGCTGTTTAATGGATAGTGCGAGAGATGGTAATAATGATATGACAGTGAAACCAACATCCTCTATGCATGAGACGTACTTTGACACTTTAATTATGAAAGCACTTGTCTTTCTTTTTTGTATCGACTAGCCAGATTTATTGCATGATATAATCATAAGGAGATACTAGGACAGAATGTAAGAGATACTGGGACATGGCTTACTGTAGGGGATACTAGAACAAGTCTTACTGTGCCTTGTTGACTGACATGACCTTTGATAGGGGCTTATTTTCTGCAGATTTTTGTTTGTACTTTCTTGCAATTTACCTAATATTTATTTATTTCATTTTTATTATGTCTTATCTTAATTCTTAAAAAAAATTTGATTATTTGATCTTGCACTATTTTGTATTTTCTTCAAAAATTCTCATTTATATTTGTGATACGTGTTCACGTCATCCGTAAAAACTGAATTATGCTCTTTGTTGCATGTGTTTCCACGTATTTTCTGTAAAAATTACATAGAATTTTGCTCTGTGACATTTGTTATCCGTACAAAAATATATAGAATTTTGCTCTATGGCGTGTGTTATTTGTAAAAAAAGATGTAAAATATATAATTTGCTCTGTGACGTTTGTTATTTGTAAAAAAGTTTTAATACACATATATATATAATTTTGCTCTGTGACGTGTGTTATTTGTATATAAATATATATATATATAGAATTTGGCTTTGTGACTTATGTTATCTGTAAATAAAATATATAGAATTTTGCTCAATGATATGTATTATCTGTAAAAACTTTGCTCTATGACAAATCTTATCTGTACAAAATTTGATTTATACTCTATGACATGTGCTATCTGTAAAAATCGTCGATTGCCCTCTAGTATGGATTCTCATTATCTGAGAAAACTTTTAATCATGTTCTTTTGATCAATAATATTAGTAAAAAAAACTGTTATACGTGTTAACATTTCCTAAAAGAAATATCATTTATATTCTGTGATATGTGTTAACATTACCTGTAAAATATCATTTATATTCTGTGATGTGTGTTAACATTACTTGTAAAATATCATTTATATTCTATGTCATGTGTTAACATTACCTGTAAAATATCACTTATATTCTATGATATGTGTTAACATTACCTGTAAAATATTATTTATATTATATGATATGTGTTAACATTACTTGTAAAATATCATTTATATTCTGTGATATGTGTTAACATTACATGTAAAATATCATTTATATTCTATGATATGTGTTAACATTACTTGTAAAATATTATTTATATTATATGATATGTGTTAACATTACTTGTAAAATATCATTTATATTCTATGACATGTGTTAACTTTACCTGTAAAATATCATTTTTATTCTATGACATGTGTTAACATTACTTGTAAAATATCATTTATATTCTGTGATATGTGTTAACATTACCTGTAAAATATCATTTATATTCTGTGATGTGTGTTAACATTACCTGTAAAATATCATTTATATTCTGTGATGTGTGTTAACATTACTTGTAAAATATCATTTATATTCTATGTCATGTGTTAACATTACCTGTAAAATATCACTTATAAATATGTGTTAACATTACTTGTAAAATATAATTTATATTCTATGTCATGTGTTAACATTACCTGTAAAATATCACTTATATTCTATGATATGTGTTAACATTACCTGTAAAATATTATTTATATTATATGATATGTGT